GGGAAATAGCAGGTGGGACAAGAGAGGTCTGCTGCACCATGTGGGTCAGCTCCCAGGCTGGGGACTGAAATCTAGTGATAGCTTGATAGCACTGAGACTTTAACCCATGTGCCACCAGGGAGGCCTGGTGTTAGTTTAATTCCTCTCGTAATATTTTATAGGACTGCATGAAATCTCTATTATGCAATTGTTCAGTTGTTTGATAAAGGATTAATAGAACCTTTCCGCTTTTGTGTGAGATTTTGAACTTTGGTTAACTTTCTAGCTCAGTTCCCTTGACAACCTAAGAAAACAGTATTAATGTCAACTATGTTGCTAGGCAACAATAAATATGGTAGGCATGACCCCTAATTGGTGAACTGCATGGGGGCTTAGAGAACTTTAAATACCTGATAGGAAGCCTAATCGCTGGGTTTCCCTGAGTGCAGTGACTCTTGGAATATACATGTCTCTTTCAGGGACCCTGGAGGCTACATCTACCTTTAGGACACTTGTTGTGGACAAGAAAAGGTCAAATGACCTGTTAATTAACTGAAGTTATGTTGAGACAAAGCCTAAATGCAGACTGAAAGTTTCAGGGAGTAACTGATAAACTGAAGGCTGACAAGCCTGACTTGTGTACCCCAGGTTGCCACTTAGGAATCTCCTGCTTCTGTACTTACTGGCAGCTTGCTTTAAGGTGCAAATGTACCCTGCTAAGACAATCAATACCATTACCTAACTCCTAGGGCTCAGCCTTTGCAGAAAGTTCTCTGAACTGGCTGGTGCTGGAGCAAATAAAGACCTTCCCTCCTCTTTGCTGTGTGCTGTCTGGTTCCCTAACCAAATTCTGCCATAACATTTCCTCTGGGACAAGCGACCAGTTCCGTGTCTCCCTGCACCTGAACCACGTCCCATGGACAGCAAGCTGCGGGAACTCTGATGGAAGAGCAGGGTCTGCCAAGCTGTACTTCACGTCCTGGGTCCTTCTAAGTTCATCTGAAGCTGAGTGTGGCAGTTTGAGTCTGAATACCTGCAAACATTCAGCTATGCTCTGGTACTAGGTGCTCCACAGGGACTCCCAATAGCAGACACAGGAAGCTGTACAGCATGCTCTTCTGCTTCCAGAACAACCCTGGTCAAGCCTTTCACTGTCTGCTCAAGGATAATTCATATCCATCACACATCACCAAGACATAGCTCAGATGAATATCTCCCCTTAAAATCTGTAAGCTTGGGCCCTCCCTGGTGGCACAAGGGCTAAGGATGCAACATTGCAACCAAGCTGCAGCTACTTCAGCATGAGTTTGATCCCTGCCTGCCCCGGAGGAGATCCACATGGCACTGCAGACCTCTCCTGACCCGCCTGCTGCTCCCCTCAGCAGTGTGCTTCGTTGATCTGCCTGTTCTGCTCCCCACTCTGTCTCTCGCTGCCTGTGCACCTCTGGCTTGTACCCCAGTTCTGTATGGATAAATAAATAAATCTTAAAAAAATTCAAAAGATATTTAAAAAAATAAAATCTGCAAGCTTGTTATTGTCACATCTTTATCATCCCCTCCATAACCCCACCGATTTTTAGTATGTTACAGACAAAACTTCAAAAATCAAATGAGGGATATGAAAACTGCTACTCCAAGCCACAGTTGTCAGTAAAGAACTGGCAGTAGTGAAACAATTTACCTGGAGGGCTTAATAGATACTGAGAGCCCTCAGAAGTTTCAAGGATTCCCTATCGTCTGATCACCATGGTGTGAATGTCACCGGTTAAAACCAGCAAGTTAGAAACCAACCAAACCACACCTGCCAAACAAAAAACTTATCTCTACAAAAACATTAGTTGAAGAAAGGAATTCAAATGTTCGGCACCAGGAAGGGCTTGAGGAACACAATTCTACTGGATGGAAATATGGAACAAAAATCAATGCAAACATCATCCACCATAAGCCACTGAGCCGAGTGCCCCCTTTTGCGGTTAAGAGTGTGAACGAGTGGAAGCATCAGGCGAGCAGTAAGAGACCAGCAATGACAGACAGCACAGTGGTGATCTCAAAACAGTGTAAAAGGATCTTCCTACCCACCCCAACCCATGCCCCTCCCTACCCCAATATACTAGAGTCACAAAATAACTCTACTGTCAATGCACAAGGGATACACAAGAAAAGCCTAGAAGGCCAGATGAAACAGTCTGAGTTCAGTGGGCCTAGGCCACTCTGGTTTCCCCCTGCCCTCAGGGCCAGCACAAGCAGCCAGCCAGACCCGTGCCCTCCTCTGGTGGGGGGGGGGGATTTATCACAACATCAAGTAACAACACCAACAAAACCAGCCTCCAGAATATTCAGTTCCACAACATGTTGCAGAGCACTATGTCAGCAGCTTTCTTAAGGAATATTCAAACTCTAGTGACCACCAAAATATTTACATAAGAAGGGCATCTTTCTGTCAGATGACCAGAAGTCATGACACCCTATGTCATTTCCTAACTTGTTACAGTTACCGGCCTTATTTACACTCTTTCCTAACCCAAGCCCCATAGACACGAGGATGCCATTTTTAAATTCCATTATAAACAAGAATCCTGTTCCTGTCCATGCAATATATCTAATAGAAGACAAAAATATCCCTTTTGTGAACTTGGATTGAATGTGCCAGGAAGATGCCAGAATATAAACTAAATCACTAAGGGTCTGTGAACTTACTTATTATAAAAATATCACCAACTCCACAACTTAAACCTCAAAGACAGTGACCACCAAATGTGAACATAAATTTAAAACAAAGGACAGTTTATGGTCTAATAGTCCAGACAAAGGAAATGCTTCTCTTAGAGTAATAGAATTCAGCAACCTGGTTATTAGCAATGCCAAAACACAAACTCCAGCCCACAGGAGAGCAACAGTCGGAGACACTATGGAAGGAAGGGGATCATTCGAACATTAAGTTTCATGTTCCATTTTCCTCCCAGTGATTCTGCTACTTTACAGTTGAAAAATAATCAGAACCTAGTAATGCTCCTGAGAGGGTGTGAATCTGAGTCAGAAATTCTAAGTTATCACATCACATGCCTAATCAGACATGGGGCAACTTGCAAGCAATAGTGAATTGCATCTTATAATTCACTATTTCCAAAACTTGTGGAAGCATAAAAGATTAAAGTATTATGAAGGTAAAAGATAGCCTAGAGTATAGCACAAAATTAAGTTTAAAAAAATCATTATTTTAAATCCTACTTTATCTTACAGCAGGGTTTTTCTACATGGATACTCATGATGTTTTAGATTAGATGATTGCTAGATGGAAGGACCCAACCCCCCCCCCAGTGTTGTGGGGTGCTTACCTGCTGGCTGACCACAGCACCCTGCCCTGCATGTAACAGATGAGAATAACCCCAGATATTGGCAAATGTCTTCAGGCAAAATCACTCCCTGCTGAGAATCGCTATCTTACAGTGATATTTCTAACATTCGTGATTTTTCTTTGCATCCAGTGACATGAGTAGGTCATTGCCACAGAAGACAAGCACTGCTCCAGAGAAAGTAGGTGGAGAAGTTGAACAACGAGGTAGAAAAGTCATACTAAAATTATCAAAAATAACTTAGAGCAAGAATGTCAACCATAACTCCTTGCAAAGTATATCATTTAAGTTTCCCTTTTACTAAGATCCTCTTTTGAAGATAATAGCTAACATTTTCATTTGGGGTAAGAAAAGTTTCTGGTCCTTGGTCATTTTCAGTTTGTAAGTCTTGATCCAGAAGAGTAATTTTCACCCTGTCTGTGGTAACAGACCAAACTTTACATTTCCTACTGCAGGTGGCTAGGTGGCCCTACTGTGTGAAGAGGTACCAAAGAATTCACACCTGAATTCACAGCTGCCACCACAGTGTGAAGAGCACTATCATAAGTGCTAATTGCTATTGAGAAATACAGTTTAAACAGCTGCTAAACTCTTGAATAACTAGCATTTAGCAGGCAATTTATAATTTTTTACTTTCTATTTTGTTGAAATGGTAAAAGGGTGATTTTACCACCTTTTGAAACACAACTATACCCAAATAAAAGAAAGAAATAGGAACTTCTTGAAAAATCCATTTTGGATATTTTAAGACAAAATTATGAAAGTGCCTTAAATACCTTTAAGTCCCACTATTTCCGGCCATTTAGCCCTTTAAAGAAATGCAGCCCCTTTTATTAGAATAATTGGTAGTTCCCAAACAGGGAAAAAGCAACTCCGTTTTAAAAATCTGTTTTCAATGAACTTCTTTTGCTTGCAGAGGGTCTTTTAAAGATAAACATAAACAATTTAGAAATACAATTTTTTTATATAGGCTTATGCTTTCCCTCCAATTAAAGTTCTATTCATAAACCAAGGGAAACAATGACGGTGACAGCTACATTTCCAGGTTATAGAGCAGTGATGGTTGGCATGTTGGATAGAAAAAGCAGGGAACATTTTGAGTTCTGCCCAAATGACTTTTATCATCACAAAACAGAACAGTCACAAACCAAATCAGACAGGGAAGCCACAGGTTCCCTTCCCAGGCCCAACTTGAAATTTAATTCAACAGGACAAGTTCGAGGGCTATAAGGAATCTTCCTTCAACTCATTTTCATGCTTGTCTGAATACCAACATCCTCATCCCCAGCCTTTATAACTGTGTTCTTAGATCTAGTCAGACAGTCCTGTCTGCCTTATGTCAATGACACTTTCTCGTTAACATTTCACCAGAGAATTAAAATATGGAATTCATTAGGAGAGGCTGGCAAAGGATGGATCTCAAAAATTAATATATTCATGTCTACCTTTTAGAGAAAGGTAATGATGATAGAGACTGCACAGGATTGACACAATATGAAAACACACGTGGACATTTTCTTCTCTTTCTCCTAACTAGAGTTTGGATGTAAAGCAGAGAAACAGGAAGCCCCTAAGGGTAGCCTTGATTCTCTCAGAATTAAGGAGAAGCTAGCAAAGCACGGCACCAGAAAGTCATTAGTTCTTTAAGTCACAAAATCCAACCTCTATCACATACAGCAGGTCCTGGGATAACGTAGTCTTGTTCAGCAGTGATCCACAACACAATGTGGCTGAGAGAAAACCGCCCCAGAAAAAGCTGAAGAAATCAGTGTTATTCCAGGTACTACTTCTGCTGTATGTGGTTTCGCTTACAGCAAAAGTGGCAGTTTCCACAACTGGAGGACTTAGAAAAATGAACATACATCAACAGTGAAAAAATGTCCCTGTCAGGGTTCTAAGAAGTGGACAATGGTGGCTTCCAACCACAAACTGAGCAGCAACAGACCTTAAGACCTCTTCCCCATCAGTGGCTGCTACGTAAGAGTTTCTGATAAGCTGGGCCGAGCTTGCGCTCTGTCATCAGAGTCCTCTCCAGTGGGGTCGTTTTCCTCACCAGACTCCACATAGATTGGCCAGTCATTGTCCATGTCACTCTTCTCCTGGCTTTCCGATGATGCCTCTACCAGGCTGAGGTTGATGGGCATCAAGTCGTCATCATCATCCTGTGTGTCTGTCACGCAAGTGCAGCTATCACATAGCCCGAAGCGCCTTAGCCCCTGGGACAGGTGACTGGTGAAGGTTCTTCTGCAGCCCTTGCAGATGATGGGACGATTGGATCTGTGGACCTAACATCGCAAGCAGACACAATAAGTATCACAGAAAAGGGGGTGAACCCTGGCCGATCCGGCCCCTCACTGACCCTCGAGCCTCATCACATCTCTCCACCCTGCCCCTTGCTTTCTCTGCCACAGTCGTGGCCTGGCCAAGGTCTGTTCCCCTCCAGGCCAGCCACTGGCTGTGTGAGTAACAGGCCCCCCTTCCACCTTACTAATTAGCCATTCAAGCAAGTCTTGTCCAGTGTTCCTGCCCAGTTATACATTCTTACTCATATGTCTCCCTGTGTTGTAGCTCTATATCATTAGTAAACTCACTAGACTGTAAGCTCTAAGGGGACATTCTCTGTCCTCTGCGGCATTTCTTGTTGTCTCCCCAGTAGCCGGCTTAGGGAGGTGTTCAGTGAACTGATTAGGATTGAGGTATGGATTTTTGTAGACAGGTTAGTCCTTAGGAGGGCAGAATTTCTAGACAGCATATTCCTCAAGTGTCCTGCAGCTGTTTCACCCTAAAAGTACTTGATGAATCATTCCTTGCTATGACAAGAGGTTTGCATACTAGAAGAATCTGATCTCCTACCTAAACAGCTTCTCCTGACGGGCAGCAGCCCCAGGGCCCTCTGTAGAAGGAAGTCTTTCTGATGTGTATGCTCTCCAACAACTCCAGCCAGAAGGGTTCTGTGAGCCAAGCACAGCCTCTCTTTCAGAGCTACAGGATGCACACAAGAGGCAGAGGCAAAAGAAGCTGTTGCGGGAGACACCCCGGTTGCTGGAGTTACGTGCTGGCCAGCGTCCCTGCTTTCCATGAGGTTTCCTTTGCTTCCTGTGCTAAGCCCTTAACACATCAGTCAACAACCCTTGACCCTGAAAGGGCCTTTGAACCCAACTTGGACAAGCTGCAGACAACAGAACCTTGAATATCATAGAAGATACGATATTCAAGATAGAGGAAATGAGAATTCCACCCAATGAAACATCTCACGGGCACCCAGGAACATACGGCTGCCAAGGCGGAGTGCAGTTATGATTTGTAATTAAAAAAAGATAAACAAAAAGTTAGACCTTGGGTGAGGTCATTCTCAGATAAGTGTGCTGGGGCTGGCACTGACACAGGCAGTCAGTAACCTTGTTCTTATCTTAAATCTGGATTCTTTCAAAACTGTAGTTCACATATCACAAAATTCACCCTTTTACAGTATACAATTCAGTGGGTTTTAGTGTGCAACCACACTACCTTCCAAAGCATTTTCATCCCCCAATAAGAAACCCTGTGTTAAAACCAATAAAATATGCGGGTCCAGAGGCCCTCTAGGAGAAAGAATTCACTAGAATTTCAGCAAAGTTTTATCAGGGACTTGCATTTGAATACAAGGAAGACAAGAGTGGAAGAGAAAATTGTAGCTGTAGCTCCCCCAGAAGTAGGCAGAAGGGGTAGGCCCATCAGGCAGAGTGAGGGGAGCAGCATCAGAGTGTCCTGGTTGGGTGATGCCAGGGCATACTCAGACTGGCAGGGCTCTCTGGTAAGGCAATTCCACCCAGGGGAGAAAACTGGGTAAGGTCACTAGTCAGGACCTAACACCTTCTGTCCAGTATGGCGCCTTTGGTCCACCTGGTGGACCAAGTCATTTGCATAGGACATTAGGGTAGGGGGCACCAGTCAGGGGCTCAGATCACCTGTTCAAACAAGATGCTGGGTAACTCAGCCTGAGATTTAATCCTGTTAGTGAAACAGGCCCTGGGCAACTCATGTCTTATTGGCTTGTGTTTTTTTTCCCTCAGCTGCTTCATCTGTACTGATCCATAGTCATCCTTCCCCAGCCCCGCTGCCTCCAGCCCTGGGAACTACTGAGGACCTTTCTCTCCATGGGTCTGCCTATTTTGTACATTTCATATAAATGGATGGAGTCCTACACTATCCTTCATTTAGCATAATGCTCTCAAGGTTCTTCCAAGTTGTCCCCATTCCATTTATAAACCGTATTTCCTTGTTTTGTTATTTTTTTAAAGATTGATTACACATGAAGAACTGGGGTACAGGCCAGATGTCTGGGGCATAAGAGGATTCACCTGAGACAGGGTGGGGAGCAGAACAGACTGAAATCCACTGCTGAGGGGAACAATGGGGTGAGACAGGAGCGGTCTGCTGCTCCCTGTGGCCCCTGTGGTCAGCTCCCTGGCCAGGGATACTGCAGCTGTGATAGGATCATAGGACTGACACTTAACCCTTGGCTTCCAGGGAGGCCCAGGTGTTTTGTTCATCAGCTGGTCACCATTTGAGTTGCTTCCAGATTTCAGTCACTATGAATGATGCTGGGTGAACACTGCGGGCCGTTTGGTCTGCCTCTCTGCTTTCGGTTCCCTTCGTTGCACACCTCAAAGTAGAACTGCTGGGTCCACAGTGACTTTCAGCTTACCTTTCTGAGGAACCGCCAAGCGGCTGGCCACAGTGTCTGCGCCAGCAGTGTACGAAGCTTCCCCTTTCTCCACATCCTCACCAACACGTTTACGATTTGTCCTTTGGTGGCGGCCATGGCGGCATTTCATGGGCTTTGATTTGCACTTTCCAAATGACTACTGCGGGTGAGCGTCCTTTCACGTGCTGCTGAATTTGTGTACTTTCTTGGGAGGAATGTCTATTCCACCGATGAACGGGGTTACTTGTTTTATTGTTGAATTGTCAGAGTCCTTTATATATTCTGGGTGCGAGGCCCATGGCAGACACATGATTTGCAAGTATTTCTCCCTCTCTGCAGGTCTGTCTTTGCTGACGTCAGTGAAAGACAGGCTGACTTTACCCTTTCATTAGCCAAAGGCACAGCGACCCTCCCCCGCCGCGAGCCGAGCACACTTACACTCAGGGCATGGCTCCTCAGGTGCTCCTGCCGGGTGAACCTCTTGCCGCAGGTCTCGCAGGGGTAGGGCCGCTCGCCCGTGTGTGAGCGGATGTGCCGCTTAAGGATGCCCTTCTGTTTGGCAGTGTAAGGGCAGAAAGGACACTTGTGGAGCTTAATGGGGACCACCAGCACATCACCTGGGGAGCCAAATGCATTGAATTAGCAGTACCATAGTATCCACCACACAGGCCACCCCCAACTGGTGAGATCCGGAGGCACAGGTAGAGATCCACAGGCACAGGTAGAGAGGGGGACACAGTCCTATCAACAGCTATCAGCAAGATGCTGTCTGCTCTGTCAGCACTCTGCCCTGTCAGCAAAGCCGGCTTCTGGCAGGTTGCGAGGGTGCCTCTGGACACCTAACCTGTCTGATTAGCCACAAAACCATTAAGGAAAATGAGCCCTTGGAATTATGTAAACTAGTTAAATAAATCAGTGCGTGGAAAACCAACTGTTAACAACTAGTTCTCCATCAGCAAAGTATGAACTATGGCAACAACTTTCCCTCTGTTTTCTTCTAGGCCTTGTTGCAAAGAACCTAGGGATTGTGACTGGATCAGAGACCTCTCACCAACTAGGTCTGGCCACCTGGTGCCACAATGCGAACAAAGGGTTCCTTGGTGCAGCAAAAGAAGAAAAATAAAACAATTTATCCTAGACAACTGGGAAGCGGACCACTAGCAGTGCAGAGGGGCTGTGAGAGGTTACTGACCGGTGGTTGGAGGAGTTGCAGATACAGGAAATGGAGGGTACAGCAGAGGCCTGCAGCTGCTGAGGTCAAAGCTCCCCACTAAATGGGGGATGGGGGGCAGCAAGCCTTCCCCAGCAGCTACTAGAAAAAGTGAAACTCAGTGCCTACCTCCCTCTTAAAGGAAAACACCATTCAGCTCTGAGTCCTAGCACCCTCTTGCTCTGGATACTGGGCGTGAAAAGCAGCCTCTCAGCTGCACTGGGCCATGTCAGCACTTCTTCTTCTCTGACCTGACTTCCCCAATACAACAGTTCATCAGACCACGTAAGATACACAAGGCACTGTGAAGGTCTATCTTTGCCAAGACAACCCTCCTCAAGACATTAAATGTAACAGGAAAAAGACATCAACAAATTTATACAATATAACACATGCCAATTAATGTGATAAAGAAATATAGACAGTAATAGGTTCTCTCTTGGAAGTTCAAAGATTTCACAGGAGAGTTGACCTTTGAGCAACATTTTTTTTTTTTCAATGTAAAGATTTATTTATTTTTGCCTTACAAGAACTAGGGTGCAGGCCAGAAGTGTGGGGAGTGGGGGTGGGGTCAGAGGATTCACCAGAGACAGAGAGGGGGGCAGAACGGCAGATGTACTGAATACACTGCTGAGGGGAGCAGCGGGCGGGTCAGGAGAGATCTGCTGGCCAGTGGTCAACTCCCTGGCCGGGGATCAGATGCAACTCATGCTGCAGTGGCTGCAGGAGCCTCATAGTGCTGCGCTTTCACCTGTTGAGTCACCAGGGAGTGTCCTGAGCAAAGTTTTAAAAGAACAAATAGGAGCTCTTGAGAGTTCATGGCAGAGAAAAGTATCTTAGGCAGGGGAACAGCCCAGGCTTAGGTAAAGACAACTTTGAATGTAAAGCAGAGTAGGAGAAAAAGAAGAGGCCATGAAGGGAGCCAGACCAGACTGTAAATGTCACGTTCATACATCTATTAAACAAATTTAATAGCACCTACTAAGTGTTAGGCTCTATTCTAGGTTCTGGGGATACAGAGGTGATCAGAAAAAAATTAAAAATTCCTGCCTTCATGAGGCTGACATATTAAGGAACCTGGAATTGATTCTGCAAACAGCTAAGATTTTAAGCAGGGGGATGAGTATGTGGTCAGATATGACATTTAAGAGACCTCTGGGGACAATACAGGAAGGATTTAAGAGAGGCAAGATTAAAGGCAGGAAGTCCAGGTGCGAGGAGATGAGAGATGAAATAATGATTATGGTGGTGGAAGCAGAAATATAAATTAGTATCACTCAGTGACCACAGAGGGAGGGGAGAGCAGGGGAAGAGAAGATTCTAAATGACACAAATTCTATATTAGCTGACTTGTGGAAAGCAATGAATAAATGGAGGCAAGGAACACAGGAAGAAATGCAGGTACAGGAAGAATGAACAGTTTAATTAAAGTTTACTGTATTATATAAAAAAAAAACTAACAACAACAAATGTAGGCAAGGATGCGGTAAAAGAGAAACTCTCCTACATTGCTGGTGGGAATGCAAACTGGTGCAACCACTATGAAAAGCTGTATGGAGACTCCTCAGACTACTAAAAATAGAGCTACCATATGACCCAGCATTTCCACTCCTAGGGAATCTACCCAAAGGACACAAAAACATTAATTCAAAAAGACAGATGCACCCCTATGTTTATCGCAACACTGCTTACAATAGGCAAATCCTGGAAACAACCCAAATGCCCAAAACTAGATGATTGGATCAAGAAGATGTGGTCTATATATATTCAATGGAATACTACTCAGCAATCAAAAAAGATAAACTCATGCCATTCACAGCAACATGGATGGAGCTGGAAGGGATTATGCTCAGTGAAATAAGTCAGAAGGAAAAATAAAAATATCAAAATGTTTCACTTATAGGAGGAATTTAAGAGAACCAAATAAGATGGCGGGGGGATAGGAGGAATTTAAGAGAACTAAATAAGATGGCGGGGGAGGGAGGGAGTGTATTGTTATTATAATACAAAACAATACAAAAACACACAGACAATTATAAACTAGAGACCACCTACAGAGGAGGGGCACAGAGAGATCAGAAGGAGGGGAGAATGTGGGG